ATATTCAGCTCTATGGCAGTTTGTTACGGTAATGTCCTGGTTTGTGACACTTTGGTGCTTTACTGTCAATGTTTTTGACACTTTGATGAGCTAATGTGAAGGTTTTTGTCGTTGGGCTGCATCCAGGTGTTTGACACGGTGGTATGTAAACGTACAGATCTGAGTTTTCTTTAGTGAGTTAGTATCCAGGTTGTCTGACATTTTGTTGCCTTAATATCCAGGTTTTTAGCCTTAATATGCAGGTTTCTGAAGTTTCGGTGTGGCAGTATCTTGGTTGTTGAAGTTCTGGCCCATGAGTTCCAGTTTCTGATGTGTGGTGCGTTAATAAGCAGGTTCTTGACATTTAGATAAGTTAATCTGCCAGTTTTTGATGTTTTTATGTGTCAATATCCAGGTTTTCCACATTTTGGTGCATTAATATCCAGCTTTTGACTGTTTCGTGCCTTAACATCGAGGTTTTTGATTCTTTAGTGAGTTAATTTCGAGGTTTTGGACAAGATCTGAAGAAGCCCAGCAGAGAACTTGGTCAGCATCTTGAGTTTTGTGTAACATTAAAACACATGGATTCAAACACTGACGTGGCGTTACACAACCAGAACTAAAAGTAGCCCAGACAAGCCACTAACCCGGCGGTGCGGCCCGGTCTCTGTGTCTGCAGGCTACCTGGAGCAGGGTCTGCTGGTGAAGGACGAGCTGAAGCTACGTGAGCGCTACATGAAGAGCTTCCAGTTCAAGCTGGACATGGCCTCCATGGTTCCCACCGACCTGCTGTACATCGTCTTCGGCTTCTCCTACCCTGAGATCCGCCTCAACAAGCTGCTGCGATTCAACAGGTACGTGGGGCTGAGTCGCTGATGCCTGCTCTCATGAAGCTTCTTCAGTGGCTTCTTACGAGGCTTTCTGGACGCTAACGCACCAAAACCTAGAACATTAAGATGCTAATCATGTCGAACACCAAGCTGTGAACCCACCTGAAGCTCAGCAAACTGGATGTTTTTCAAGTTACCCAGTTGTTTGGCGGTTCCTTCACTGGTTCGTTGTTGAGGACACATGAGAGCCTGTGCACACACTCTGCTGACCAGCCGTCTCTTTGTCAGGATGTTGGAGTTCTTCCAGCGGACTGAGACCAGAACCAACTACCCCAACGCTCTCCGTATCTCCAACCTGGTCATGTACATCGTCATCATCATCCACTGGAACGCCTGCCTCTACTACTCCTTCTCCAAGGCCGTGGGTGGGTCTCTGCAGCTTCCATCAGAACCACACAACCTCCCGTCCACAACGCAGCAGAACCGGGCTTTATGTTGTTGAATGTATTTGTGGTTTCACCTGCTTCAGCGAGGTTCACTTCATTTGTGCCTCTTTTTCGTATTTACGTCTCGTTTTTCTCGTTTGATGTTTTGCTTTTTTCATTTTGTCCCGTTTTCTCGTTTGTTCATCTTGTGTCTAATTTTCTCGTTTTGTGTCTTATCTTTTTAATTTTGTCGTATTTTTCATGTTTTGCGTTTTTCTTGTTTCATTTCTCGTTGTTTTTGTCTTGCTGTTCTTGCTTTGTGTCGCGTTTTTTTTTGTTTCTACTTTTGCTGTGAATCACTTCGACACACTTTTCGTTTTACTGAGTCCAGACTGATGCGGTGAAGTTCCCACTCACGTCCCACAGGTTGATGACAGCACATTTATTGTTCAGGGTTCAGCTGAGAGTGTTTTCATGCGTTAGAACCCTGTAGAACCGGGCCTGCCGCTCCATTATAAAAGCCTGCGTCCTCTCCATCTTCAGGCTTTGGTGCCGACAGGTTCGTGTATCCGGACCCGTCGGACCCGGAGTTTGGTCGCCTGGTGAGGAAGTACGCCTACAGCATGTACTGGTCCACGCTGACGCTCACCACCATCGGGGAAACGCCGCCCCCTGTGGAGAACTCCGAGTACTTCTTCGTCGTCACTGACTTCTTGGTGGGTGAATAAAATCAAATGTGGCACAAATTGCAAAAGACGCCCAAAAATGTTCAATAAAAGGTGAAAACAATCTATAAAATTCACAATAAATGTAAAGAAATATCAGTGAAGCGCTTTCACACATTTACATGTTATTATATGTTTATGGATGGTTCTAGAAAGTCCGGCCCAATCCTGTGTTAAAAGACTTACAGACATCTGCAAAGACTGACTCACCAGAGAACATCTAAATAAAATAAAATAACATACAATTTAAAAAAACAACTTCCATGATAGATTATAATGAGTTAAAAACACTCATAAAGTGTTTCTAGAATGTATGAAAAATGTGCTTAAAACTATTTAAATCTCCAACAACAAAGAAAATAAAAATACAGCAACTATTCTGATAAAACCTGAAAAGTTCATCTGCGATAAAATATGAATGAAAGTCTCAGAAATGCCACAACATGCTAACAAAGCTTCAGACACAAAGAAATGAAGTGTGTAAAGCATTTGCTTCGTGTCCGTCCGTCCTCCAGGTCGGCGTTTTGATCTTCGCCACCATCGTCGGTAACGTCGGCTCCATGATCACCAACATGAACGCTGCCAGAGCCGACTTCCAGGCTCGCATCGACGCCATCAAGCAGTACATGAGCTTCCGAAAGGTCAGTGGGTACCATCGTCAGCCGAGGCCCAAACTGGCAGCGACCAAAGTTGGAGTCATTTCAGAGACATTTCAAAGGTTCTGGGCGTCTTTCTGTCGGACCAGACACATTTGGACAAGTTCTTGTCAGACTGGACGACGTCTTTGTGTCATTTTGGGCTCACTTTAAAACATTTTGGACAGTTTTTATCATGCTGAGGAAAAAATGGAGTCATTTTGAAGAGACTGTCGCGTTGAATGCATGTTTTGTGTTGTTTTGGACAAGATTGTGTCACGTTGGACACATTTTAATTCCTTTTATTAATTTTGATAGTTCTGTTCAAATTCTTGTCGGATTGGACAGATTTAAAGCCATTTTGGAAGAACTGTTGCCATCTTTGACAACTTTTAGTCATTTTAGACAAATCTTGAGTCATTTTAAACAAGTTTTACGTTGGACAGGTTCGTTTTGATGGAGGGCTGAAAAAAGAATAAGTGACGACCAAACATGAACAGAACGTTTTCTCACAGATATCGTCTGTGTCTGTGCTGCTCTCCAGGTAACGAAGGACCTGGAGAAGCGAGTGATCAAGTGGTTCGACTTCCTGTGGACCAATAAGAAGGCGGTGGACGAGAGGGAGGTGCTGAAGTACCTGCCGGACAAGCTGAGAGCCGAGATCGCCATCAACGTCCACCTGGACACGCTGAAGAAGGTCTGCATCTCCCCACAGCGCTGCTCACTCACAGCAGCTCAGGTGGATTAAAGCCCGTGTTTGGTTCTGCAGGTCCGAATCTTCGCCGACTGCGAGGCCGGTCTGCTGGTGGAGCTGGTTCTGAAGCTGCAGCCACAGGTCTACAGCCCCGGAGACTACATCTGCAAGAAGGGCGACATCGGCCGCGAGATGTACATCATCAAGGAGGGCAAGCTGGCCGTGGTGGCCGACGACGGCATCAAGCAGTTCGTCGTCCTCAGCGACGGAAGCTACTTCGGCGAGATCAGTATCCTGGCAATCAAAGGTAGTTAGCTGGTGGAGGAGTTCTGCTCCTGTCAGGCCGGCTGTGGTTCAGGTTACCACCAGCCACAAGGTTGGTGGTTCCATCCCTCCACAGTGGAAGTGTCCTTGGGCAAGACGCTGAACCCGAAGTTGCTCCCGATGGCGGGCAGCACCTTGCATGGAGCTCAGTCACCATGAGTGTGTGAATGTGAAAGAGAAACACACTGTAAATATATAAGTATAGACATTACCTACACTTCACCCAAAACTTATCTATTTTAACAAAAACATTCTTAAACCAGATCCCTGGTTTGTCTGAGGTGACAAAAGCTTGAACAATGTGATCCCGTCCATAACGTGGTCCCTGACGCCTCTGTTCCCTGAACCAGGCAGCAAAGCAGGAAACCGGAGGACGGCCAACATCCGCAGCATCGGCTACTCCGACCTCTTCTGCCTCTCCAAAGACGACCTGATGGAGGCGCTGACCGAGTATCCGGATGCCAAGGCGATGCTGGAGGAGAAGGGGAGGCAGATCCTGATGAAGGACGGGCTGCTGGACCTGGAGGTACGATCACATGACATCACACAGGTGAGTCGCCGAGTCGAGCCGCTGACGTCAGAGCCGCTGTTGTCCTGCAGGTGGCGGCGCAGGGCCCCGACCCCAAGGAGATCGAGGAGAAGGTGGACCGCATGACGAGCACGCTGGACGTCCTGCAGACCCGCTACGCCCGACTGCTGGCCGAGCACGAGGCCACGCACAGCAAGCTCAAGTACCGAGTCACCCGGCTGGAGAAGAAGATGGCGCCGCCGCCGCGGGCCGACCAGCCGGTGGACGCCCCGCCGCCCGAGACGGCGCCGGCCAAAGAAGAGAAGTAGAAGGAGGCGGGCGGAGTTAGACCTGGTCCAATGTTCCCTGAGGGTGACTTTGTAAAACCATGAGAGAACCTTCAGGGAACCTTCCAAAGGTGCCCAGAACATTGTAAACAAGTAGTCTGCCCCAATTACAAGATTCTTCTGGTTTGAACCATAATTCTGATCCCGTCTGGGAACGTTCTGTCAAGGTTCCCTAAAGGGCTTTTTGAACCCTCAAGAGGATCTTCAGAGAACATTCAAAAACAGTAAATAGTTCCCAACTGAAAAAATAAGTTTAAAACATCCTAGAACGTTCCCTGAAGGTTAGTTTGTGAAACCTTGGGAGAACCAGGACAGACTGAGGTTCACGTTCATCCTCAGAGTTTGTTCATTTAAAAGGATCCAAAAGCTGCAGCTTTACTCTAAACCGTGACGGAGCTGCTGAGTGTGACGACTCTCATGTTTCATGTGTTCATTAATGACCGTAGCTCAGATTTACAGCAGCGCTGCCGCTTTTCAGCCTCCTCTTGGTTTTATTGGACCTGAGTGTGAATGAAGCTACGAGCGTTTCACACACACTAGTGAATCCATATTTCTGTTAAGTGCACATTTATTCAGACAGCCTGTAACGTCCAGCTTCACCGAGTAGCTCGCCTGCTGTAGCACACAGAGACACTGAGAGGCGTCCCAGTGTTACCTGCGCTCAAATAAAGGTATTTTATAAGGAAATCTGAGCTGCTTCTTTTATTTCCACAATGATTTACTACAACTGGATGAATAGAAAATTGTGCAACAGTTCCCAAACATTTTGGGATTTGGCATTCATTTTTTAGGGCACAGAAAAATTAGGGTTCAGGTCTTATTTATAGGGAATCTGTTTGTGTTTGAAAGAGCTAAATGTAAGATTTGAACCTTAACATCTAAATTAGTCAGCTAAGTTTATAAAATAAAAATATTGTGGGGTCTTTAATGTTTGAATCAGTGCATCACTGACAACATTGTAGAGTCTAAAGTTTCACATTTAAGGTCAATAATTTATAACAAATAATATTTTAAGGTCTTCACTTTAAAATTAACAATAAGAAAGAAAATGCAAATAATTACGACTATTGCAGGGTCTTAATTTTAGTATTTAAACTATGCAGGTATATTTGCATAACAAATGATTTTGTTTGGTCTGGACATATATTTTTATATATTTTTATTAACGTATGTTGCTTTTGTGTATTATTATTATTATTATTATTATTATTATTATTATTATTATTATTCAGAGTACATGAAGGAAAAAAATCTTAAATAAACCGCATTTAAATGATCGCTGCAGTCAGTGACGGGATTTGTAGTTCTAAAGGCCCGTAAGCTTCCTGAAGTCCCAGCATGCACCGCTAAACTCTGCGCATGACAAGTAGGCTTCAGCCTGCACAGACCACTGAGGTGAGTTTAACTTCAATCTGACCGTTAAACTCGTTTCCTGGGTGTGTTTTCATTAATCCGTTAGATTACCGGCAGCTCCGGGTTGTGTTCACACCGTGACACCGGAGGTTTACCGCAGATATCTCTGGTTTCCGCTGCTTTTTACTGCCATTAGCGACACAGGGACCGTTAGCTTAGCGCAGCTAGCCGGCTAACGGCAGTCAGGACTACATTTAACGGTCCGGACCGGTTCTGTGGAGATGAACACGGTTCGGTCCAGGCCGGTTCTGTGGAGCTGAACACGGTTCGGTCCGGGCCGGTCCTGTGGGCCTGAACGTGGGTTCCGGGGTGAGTCACAGAGGCTCCAGTGGACGTGTTAGCATGTAGCATGTAGCAGGTAAACGTGGCAGGTAGTGGACAGGTGAAGCCGGCGGCCACCTGCCGTCCACAGACAGCCCGGTCCGGCTAGCGGCCTCCTCCGGGCTGAAACGCAGATTGTGGACCAGAGTCCAGCTCGTTTCAGTGCTGCTGTGTTCCGGTCCGGAGCAGAGATAGACTCCGGGTCAACTCATGTCTGCAGGTCTGGGCCACTCTGGACCTGATCACAGTCTCTAGACCTGATCACAGTCTCTGGACCTGATCACAGTCTCTGGACCTGATCACAGTCTCTGGACCTGATCACAGTCTGTGATCAGTAAATGTAGAACACAGAAACACAAGTCAACACATTTTAGTTCTGATGTTGTAGCACAAACTCGGTGAAGGTACTGTTTCAGTCACACTGGATGGGTTTTATCGAGTCTCACAGGTTCTCACAGGTTCTCACAGGTTCTCACAGGTTCTCATAGGTTCACGTTTTCTGTCAGGGGGGACGAAGTTTGTGTCATTCTGTCAAATGTTGAGTTATTCCAGATAAATCCACGTCTCCTTGGAGTACGTTTGAGCAAAATTGTTGTAATTTCAAACAACAATCTGAGTCCTGCTGACAGAAGACGTCTCTGAGTTCTGTCTCCTCCTCCTTCATGTGGTTCTGGTTCCTCAGAGCTGCAGGAGTTTAGAGAAACATGAACCCCAGTGAAGGAACACGAGACAGAAGCTGCTGGAGTTCAGGGAGTCGATATACCTGTAGATTATGTAGGTAATGAGTGAATGAACCCTGATGAACTCATGAATGAATGAACCCTGATGAACTCATGAATGAATGAACCCTGATGAACTCATGAGTGAATGAACCCTGATGAACTCATGAATGTGCAGACGTGAAGCTAAACTTCACATGTGATGGAGCCGGTCAGCAGTTATGATAAATGTTAATGTGATGAAACATCTCTGTTCTGCTCAGGTGTGCAGTGTTTGGAGGCGGTTGCCATGGAGCCGGCCTGGCGACAGCAGGGCCGGGGTCGGGGGCGGAGCCAGGAGGGCAACAGGTGGCGGCCCACGCAGAGGGAGGGGCCGGGCGGCGGCCGAGGAGGGAGGACGGCGGCTGAAGCTCCACACGGTGACCGGCATTAATCCACACCGCTCCCCTCCCGCGACCCGAGCAGCCCGTTCTAACTCTCTCTGTAACCGACAGGCGTCGCGCCGCAGGCCAAGTTCGAGGAGATCAGGAAGTCCAACCAGGCCGCCGCTCAGCGATTGGTCGAGAGCCACGTCAGCTCCTCCTCCTCCGACGAAGACGATGATGACGACAGGGAGCGTGAGGACGGGAAGCGAGGGCAGATCCTGGCGTCCACCTTCACCACCTACACCGACCAGACAGGTGAGCCAGGCGTTACCGTGGCAACAGCAGGTACCGTACAGGTCACCACAGAACCCGTTGGAGGTGAAAAGGCAGTGCAGGTCAGATCTGTTGACTCAGTGTTAGTGGTGACTGGTGGATGAGCAGAAACGTCTCTGATTCCACCATGAACTGTTTCTGTACTTTACTTTTAAACTGTTTTGTGAACTGAAATCACAACTGAAGCCATTCTGTGACTCCTCAGTGGTTTGATTATCATTTGACTGTTTTAAAGTACATCTGAGAGCTTCTTAATGAGCAGCTGGACTCCTCTCTTAGTCTTGGAGGTGAAACATCTCCAAGAGACGCTAAACACCTGCAAAGAAACACAAAGTGACCACAAAGAGTCACGGTCGTCTGAGTGTCTCGCTTTAAAGACAAAGTCAGTGTAAAGGACCTTCAGACAAACCTCAGAGCTGCTGAGACGTCTCAGAGACGCACAGAGAGAAGTCCAGTTGCTTTTTGCTGAAGCTGTTAGGATTCTCAGGTACAGTGGTTCTGTGTGTCCAGGTGGGGACGCCACAGGTCTGGTCCGGACCGGCCAGTACCTCAGTGACCTGTTCCAGTCCGGAGCTCTCACCTGTCTGATCTGCATCGCCTCGGTCAAGAGGACGCAGCAGGTAGATGACACGTGATGGCAGTTTTAATGTCTGAAATGAAGATTTCCTGCTTCTCTTGTAAATGTGAATGTAAACAGAGATCATCATCAACACTAATCAGGACATCAGCTGCTTTCACAGAGGCTAATGCTACGCTAGCAGCTAACAATATCTAATAGTACTTTATTGTGTGGAATGTAGTGGGAAATAAAACAGACAGACCTCATTATGAAAGACACGTCTCTGCTGGCACATGCTGTTAATATAGAACAGAGGAATACCTGTCCATCTGAAGTAGAACGATCTGCTGAATGATCAACAGAAAGGTAGATCAGTAGATGGATCAATAGGTGGATCAATACATAGATCAGTAGGTAGGTAGGTGGATGGATATGTCTCCATGTCTGTACTAAAGGTCCTGGACATGCAGAAGCATGTTCAAGGTGTCTGATGGAGGAACCAGCTGACTGTAGCCTGCCTCCATCCATCCAGGTGTGGAGCTGCAGCAGCTGTTTCTCTCTCTTCCACCTGCCCTGCATCCAGAAATGGGCCAAAGACTCGGTGTTCCTGGTCTCCTCCGTCACCGACGAGGACTTCGGTCAGAAGCAGCATCCATGGCCCTGGTAAGGAAAAGACTGCCTCTCAGACCGACTGTAGTTCACCAGACTGGACCCTCAGACTGACTGTAGTTCACCAAACTGACTATCAGACAGACTGTAGTTCACCAGACTGACTGTAGTTCACCAGACTGACCCTCAGACTGACTGTAGTTCACCAG